CCCTCCTCCATTCTCCTCTCAGGATTTTGGGCATGCATGCACATGTGCTCAGTATGATTTTTTTTTTTTTTCATTTGTGTGAGTCCTTGGGTCCAGGACTCGAACCATGTAGATTTTCTGGAGAGAGACAGAGAGAGATAGTGAGAGAGAAAATGAGAAATCAATCCCCGGCGGATGGCCACCTGTAATCCCTCCCCCCCACTCTCCCTTTGAGTATGCACATGCCCCTGGTGTGATCCTCGAGCCACTGTATCCGGGACTGGAACTGCAGTTGAACATGTGGGAGTCTAGTGGCTTAACCACAGTGCCACCGACCGGCCCCCACCGTGGTGCTTTGTGTAGCTCAGGTATCTGTCCTTGACACTCTGCAGCCTCGTCACTGTGGTTGTGTAGCTCGCTTCTCCCAATGGGAGTGGACTCAAGGGAGCCCCGGGACTTTGGGGAAGTCAGTTAACCTGCCTGTGCTTCCGCTTTCTCACCTGTAATATGGGACAAGGAGTTGTCTGCCTTCAAAAGACTTTTTAAAATATACTTTATTTTATTTATTAATGTTATTTTTTAATTTGACCAGAGAGAGAAAGTGAAAAAGCAAGCTTTCAGGTCAGGGACACAAACCGTGGTCAGTCATATGGGACTGACCAACTGCCGACTCCATAGAGTTTTTAAAAATTTTTAACTGTAGAGGGCACGTGTACTCACTAGAAAGAGTGAAGGAGAAAGCACCCCTCAGTAGGGTATGGTCATGCAGCAATCTCTTCTCCATTTCTCCATCCTGCCCTGATTTGGGGTACATGTGCCCAGTGTGTTTTCCAAGCCACCATGCCGAGATCTGAACTGTGGTCGGCCGTGTGAGAGACGGCCCCCCTAACCACTGCAGGCTGTAAAGCTGGCCCTCATTGACCTGTGCTGAGGCCTGGTGCCTGGCACTTAGGAAATGCCCTCTGTGAGTCTAAAGGCAGCTACTGGGACCATCGCCGCTTTCCTGTGTGTCTTGTGCCCAGAATCTGGTGCAGAGCAGGCCGTGTGGTGGCGAAGCCCCTCCTGCCCTGCCTCCTCCCCGAGTCAGTTGTCTTGTCCCCTCCCAGCTCTCTGTCTCCCCAGCTCGCTCTTCCCATCACACAGACACGTGTCTCGATAGTCACAGTAGACTCTAGGCAGGGCACAGAGGGCACAGCGTTGTGGGGACCACTCAGCGGGAAGACCTGTTGGCTGCTGACGGTGAGAAGGGCAGAGAGAGGGGCGTGACGAGGGCGATGCCCACTTTTGGGTGGGAGAAAGGGAAGCACTAATTCTGCGATGGGGCCGGAGGAGGAAGCACAGCCAGAGGAGAGGTGAGTTCCCGTGCTGTGCAGCAGTCCCTGCGCCTTCGCCAGGCCAGAGCTTCCCTTAGGCAGCGGGGCCCACGGAGGGACGGCACAGTTTCCATCCTTAAGAATGTCCCCAGGTGGGCCGGCGAGGCAGGAATGACAGATGGGGGCACTGAAGGTTTCCAGGTGCTGCTTGAGGAGCGTGTTCAGGACTCCCCGAGGCACAGAGAAGGGGTGGTCGCCTGGCTGAAGGCCTGAAGGCCGAGACAATGTCAGGGGGCTGAGTTCTGGATGAAGCCATGGCCCGGGCTGAGCGGAGGTGGGCGTTTTGCAAAAGGGCATGCTGCTAGCACAGAAGGGACAAAACTGCCTGGCTCACTCAGGGAACGGGGGACAGCCGAGTTAGGGGAGCGTGGGCTGGAGGGTGGGCTGGAGGGTGGACGTGTGAACGAGGTTGCAGAGGCCAGCAGGGCCTGGATGGGAAGGCAGTGAGGCACTCCCTGGGACCCTGGGCTGGAGAGCGGCTTGTTCCACTGGCCCTTGAGGTGCTGATGATCTCCGACGCGCTGTGAGTTTCCTAAGCCCAAAACTCCAGGCGGAGGCTGAGCCTTTATCCCACATGTGCGCCCCCGTGCGTGGACACCAGTGGGGCACCCCTCGGCAGGGGAGTCACCACTGCTCGTTCCCTCAGCTCCTCCAGATGGAGCAGGTGCGGAGGATCCCCGAGGAGTACTCTCTGGGGCGGATGGCAGAAGGCCTGAACCACCGGGACCCTGTCATGAAGGTGCTGTCCATCCGAGGCTTGGTCATCTTGGCCCGCAGGACTGAGAAGGTGAGTGGCGAGCAGAGGAGAGTCCCGCTCAGGCAGGCCCTGGCCTGGAGGATGGGCCTTGGCCACAATAGTCCCTCAGAAGCCAGTGGCTGGAATCAGAGCTATTTCTGTTTCAGCCTCAGTTGTCCCATCTGTAAAACTGAAGTCCTTCAATCCTATATATTTTATTTTATTTTGCTCTGGGGTGCCTGTGCTTGCAGGAGACAGAGACAGAGAGGGAGGGCGGAATGAGAAGACACCTCCTAAGGGGAGGGCCATGCTGCAATCCCTTTTCTATTCTCCTCTCAGGATTTTGGGCATACACATGCACCCAGAGTTTGTTTTTTTTTCCAAG